TTGAAGAAGAGTTGATAGAGATTTTGTTGTTGCTGCTGTATTGACTCTACAACTTTCAGATTTTATTCATTTGAATTCACTCTCTTGTAGGTATGTAATTCAAGCTCTTGAGTTAAAAAATGTCGGAGCATCTTTATTGAAGCAGAACCAAATTGATTTGGTTCTTTTGTTAAAGTTTCTTTCGTAATGGATCTGTTCGCATGAATGATGTTTCTTTGATTAAGTGAATTGAGATTTGCAAATGTTAATGTTATTTTAGTATGTTCATGACTTTGTCTCATTTTTGTTTTTTTCTTTATTTTTTTTACTTTTTGTTATTTTTCTTGGCTCATAACTTGTAACGAGCAGGTATTGTTTTGTTTACATTTAGATTTCAAGCCCATGTAGCACCAAGTTCATATTTTGAAATTTAAAGAAGTATGTGAAGTTGAACAATTTGTCAACATTAAGATGTAAAAAAAATAGATTGCATTAGTGGAAGGATCTTATCTTCAATTTATGTTATTGGTTGCATATTTTCTTAAATTAACCATGTGAAGATTCAACTTCCTCTGCTTCAAAATGGTACTGTAGAAGTTATAGTGGTGATACTACAACTTTCTCTTTAGCATAGTGTTAAATAAATTAATTACTTTAAGTGTTCTTTGTTATAATCAAGTTTAAAATGCATTTTTGTATGTCCATGTTTGTTTTGTTCCTTCTGGTTCATCCGAATAGTTCTCAGCATGTTTTTTTTTGTGCTCATATGGTCATTTAAGATTCATTATTTTGTTATAAAATTTTGTTAGTTTCTTTCTAGAATTTGAAAACGAAAGTCGGTCTTTTGAAGATGATATGGAGATGAACCCAAAGCTGGCACCTGTCTTTTTGTTATTTTCACATAAATGTCAACTCCACCTTTCTGAATTGTAGTATGCTATAACAAAAGGCTCCAGTGATATACAAGTAGTTAACCCATTTCTTTAGGCCTTTTGTACTTATCAATTTATACCACTACATCCACAATAAAACCTCAAAACTCATGGCCCTCATTTAATTAATTTTAAATCCTTAGAATTCGAGGCATGTCATTTAGCGAATTTTCTATGGCCCTCGCAAAGTTGAAAAATGCGCAGTTGCTTTAGGCACGTAATTTAAAATTACCTTCCGAAACTCGGGTGTGCATTTCATGTGACCCAAATCCAAATCCCAACAACATTAAATAAAATATGTCATGGACCACGGGTGCATTTATGTGACGTGGTTCAAGACATATTTTAAATGACGTTGCAATCTTCCTAAAAATGAATAAGAGCGGTTAATAAGTTAAAATTGAACCATAGGCTAAAACATGTATTAAAATCAGATAATAGGCCAATTATAACAGTTGAGCGACCGTGCTAGAACCACGGAACCCGGGAATGCCTAACACCTTCTCCCGGGTTAACAGAATTTCTTACCCGGATTTTTGTGTTCACGGACTGTAAAACAGAGTCAATCTTTTCCTCGATTCGGGATTTGAACCGGTAACTTGGGACACCATAAATTATCCCAAGTGGCAACTCTGAATTTTTAATAATAAATGAATCCTGTTTCGATTGTTACTTTAAGTTGGAAAAAAACTCCCTTATACCCTTTCTGGGGTATAGGAAAAAAGGAGGTGTGACAATGATGACAACAACTTCATTATCACGTCGATTTGGTAGGCTAACGACAATCTAATAAAACATGAGATATCAACTCCACATAGGTAAATCCCAATTGACAACTAATTCATCAAATAAAAACAGAGGCAGGGATTAGCATGTTAGATGAAATACAAAAATCATGTAGAAATTCATGGCAAACATAAAGAATTCATATTCATATTCAAGAATGTTACCCTCGTACCACCACATAAACATTATCAAGAAAATTACCCTCAAACCATCACATAACACCATCAATAATGCCACCATTATTTGCTGTATGTGCAATATCAATAAATGTCATCCTTATTTCGCCACATGCACATATCACCATTCTTATTTCACTACATAGGCAAGCCCGAGATTCGCCACCCTTATTTTGCCCAATGCGCACAATAATAATTACAATCGCACGACAAAGACCTCGTGCCAACACCCAATAAATCCACCCAACATGTCCACATGTGCCATAATCATCACAAAGAAATATGCCAAGTTTCCATCAAATATATAAGGCAATAATTTTGTCAACAAGATGCACAAGGACATACCAATAATAAAATGTGGATGGATGTTCAAGATATAAGGCGTGACTACAACTAAATCAATTGTAGCAATCAAGTCCAAGTTGTCATACAAAGGATCACATATATGTCACAAAGTGCACACTTTCCAATTGTGGCCAACACAAGGACAAGTACAAATGTGTGTTCATATCGTGAGTATATCTACGTCCAAGGAAAGCATAGAATTAATCTCAAGATTTGATCATGTTCAAAATAAGTTTACAATAGGCTCAACATTACTCTGGCATGGTTCTAATCAATCAATTGAGTAACACATAGAATCAAGCAAAACACACAACCAAACAAGGCGTAGAGTAATCTAAAATTCCC